CCTACTTATGCAACTGATTGAGAAGTTTAGAGTAAAGAAAAAAAGCCTCCATATGGTATTTATTGATTTAGAGAAAGCATATGATACAGTACCTAGATATTTAATTTGGAGGGTGTTGGAAAAGAAAAGAGTTATCAGAGGCTATATTAACATTATGAGATATATGTAAATGCCAACTAGTATGCAGACAACTAGTGGAGACACTAGTGAATTCTCATTGACAATGGGCTTGCATTCCAGATGCAAAACTATAGAGAGATAATATAGGTGCCCAATAAATATGGGCTTTCATCAACTTTCCAAAAAAAAAAGAAAAGAAAAAGAAAGAGGCTCTTTAACGGGTTGGGTCAGACCTAAACAGTAAAATTCCAGGCCGGGGCGGGCTTTTTGACACATTTTTGGGCCAGGCCTTTCCCAAGGCGGGGCCTAAGCATTACCGGGCTTCAGGCCCGTCTGGCCCGTGGCAACCCTAGTGAAAAGGGTAAATAACCTAATTTGCTTTCCATATATAGAAACGATTTTGGTGAGTCAGCCAACTCACCCATGTCTCCTTATGCATCATACGTGAATCTCTAAGATGGACAGAAAAATGATGGTGCCTCCACTAAAAGCCAAAATGCATGGTGGAAAATAAAAGACAAAAAAATGCTATTTATTTTCAAAAAAACTAAAATCCAATATTCACGATCACCATCATGGCTGAGATTAACAAATTTTAAAACTTTGGATCCAAAATCCATCTTTCAGATTAATATTGTATGGGACGTGTGCAAAAATAGGTAAGGTGGTCACCAAATACTCTTCATATATTCTGCAATATCATTTTTTTGCTGAGTCGCTTAATTACATTTAATTTGTAATAACTTGATCATGACCATATAAAAGATCCTTAATTTTGAGAGTTTGATGCATAGAGCTTCCCGTGAAAACGTGATAATGGATGTGCATACAAAGTTTTTTCACTTCATTTGAAGGAGTTGGTTTGGAGCGGGCCTTGACTCAATAAAAGTAGCACTCATTAGAATATGCACTGCTCAATGTAATTTGATGGTGAAGATTGTGTCTAAAAATTGGGATAGGGAATTACAGGGTACAATCTCTACTGTCCAAATTACGTTGAATGATATATATATATATATATAAGTAATGATCTTATGAGACCCTCTCACATCGATACATGTATGTAAGACTTCAAATGATTACCATTAAATTTAACACAAATCTCTAAAAAAGTCATGTCCAAATCACTTGACTGGTGTACTTATAAGAATATACCCAACTGCCTAGATTGAATCTGAGCCAATCTGACGGTCACTACCTCATTTCGTGTTTTAATTTTAATTTTCTTTTCTACAAATCCAAATCACTTAAAATTTTAAACGTGTGTTATTCTCATCAAGCCGCACCTAATAAAAATATCACAAAAATAATTTGTAAAAAATAAATTGACCGAAATACCTCCAAAAAGTTTCGAAGGTATTTTGGTCAATTTATTTCATGCAAAATATTTTTTTTATATTTTTATTGGATTCGTCTATTTTTTAAAAACACATGTTTAAAATTTTTAGTAATTTGGATTTGTGAAAAAAAAAATTAAAATTAAACTTCAAACATGAAATGAAAGTCGTGATCGTCAGATCGATCCAGAT